GCATAGGCAACGGGTATATATGTGTTTGTTATCGGGGTTGTTTTTTTGTTTAGTTGTTGACAGCCTGGAATTAAGGAATTAAGGGAACCAACTATGAGTTAGGGAAAGAGGGATGTGTTTGACAGAAAAGCAAACATGCCGACACGGCTATTCTAAAAATGAAACCGCCAGAACAACTTTTATGGATGGCATTCACGATCATTTATTCGCCCTGCCGACTCTTGCTCCTTGTTAGACTGCTTGCCGTAGGCAATTCCATTTCTCTACAATAGTACCGGTTAGATCTTGAAAATCTTGCATCCAAGGTGGGGGGAATTGCTACGTACCCGCACTATTTTCGGGAACACACTTGCTGACCTACCACCCCTTGAGGGACTGAATCAAACAGAAGATAATAAATAATAAATCATTCCGCGATGTCGCTTCCATTATCCGCGATCGCCACCTTTCGAACATCGTTTTCTCCTTTCTCTCCACTTTCCAAGCCATGCCGGGTATTTCTTTCCTTACTTCAAACTCCAGCCACAGCATCACCTTCGTCAGGGTCGCATATAAAAATACAAGTATCGCACTTACCACGGAATTCGCCGAAACTACCTGAGATGACGATTGGTTTTCGAAACGGCCAGACTCTAAAGCTCGAAGTGGGGAAGTTAAGGATGGGTGTAGGAGACGTTATTGAGGAAGTAGGAAGGGTTGGAAGAATAATAGAGCGAGAGGCTTCGTTGAAAGGCTGAGTGATTGGTTACGAGATATCTGGCTGTTTGCGCTACTGCTTCTATGCGAAACGGCGATTTGGAGCATATACAACATGTACTAATAAGATGGATATAATTATTCTCTAGTCGAAAATATTTTATTTTTGAACCTATAGGTTTTTAATCAACACCACTATGGATGACCCTCGAGTCGCCAACATTTTGAGGAACCAGACAGAGGTTTAAACACCAATAACGCCTGGGAAGAAGGCTGTGGAACAGACAACTTAAACAGTAGCGCCAGAGATGAAAAACCATTTATCAACAGTTCCATCAATAGGAGCTGGAGGAAGGTCCGAGCCGGCGGGGATTGAATCCTGCTGGGAAACGTCCACGCGGTCAGGGGATTGGTCAAGCGTGGTATTTGCCCTACAAACAATTTTATGGTTAGTTAAATATGCAGTACAAGGAGTATATACTCGTACTCTACTTGGCGAGGGTGGGGTTGGGGACAACATACAAGCAGAGATCACCGCGGGGCGCCTCGCCGGTCATAAGTCTGTTCCAGGATTCGGCACATTCATGAACGATTTCCATGGCGTACCTTGAGAAGTTGTTAGCCAAGAAGAAGAAAGAAAGAAGGAAGGAAGGCAGGGAGTTGGTGATAAGGGGGGAGAGAGGGGTGGGGTTGTTTTGCTCACTTCTTATTTTTGCATTCACCGGAGAAGGCGAACTGATTCTCTGGCTTTCCGTCTGGGATCTTGTAAATACGGAACCATTCGTTTGTGGCTCTGAGAAGACCTGGAAGATGGCGCTCAACGTCTTCAATATCGTTAAGCTTTGGCGCGAGAGGATCATTGACATCAATGACAATGACTTTCCAATCAGTCTCCTCCTCGTCGAGAAGTGCCATGACTCCGAGAACCTTGACTTGCTTGACCTGACCGACATGGCCGACCAATTCACCAATTTCACAGACGTCTAGAGGATCGTTATCGCCCTTTGCCTTTGTTTCGGGGTGGATGACATTTGGGTCTTCCCATGTCTGCAATCAAAAGATACAAATTAAAACCCACTCTGTTCGACAATGAAGAATGATATGAGAGATAATAACATACGCGTGGGAAAGCACCGTAGTTCCAGAGGTAGCCCTTGTGGGGGAAACAGTTTCGCACGAAACGGAGTTTTCCCTTCTTCACGTCTTGCTTGATGGGGTTGAGGAAATCGTCCTTGGAAAGCTGTTCATAGAAAGGCATTACTGATTAGCATCGTGATACAAACAAGGCAGGGATGGAGAATTTTTCTTTGTTTTTATATTTTTTTTCCTTAAAAAAAGACAACTGACCTCCAGCTTAGCATTGGTCCAGCGAGGAATTTCGACGATCATGTTCAAGACGTCTTGTTGCTCGTTGGCAAAGAGCGGCACATCGTGGAAAGGTGAGATAGGGCGTCCATCTTTCTCGATGAAGGCACGGAAGTCGAGGGTGTTGGGATGTCCAATCTTTCGCACAGTATAAGGCGACGAAGATTTTCCAGCTTGCGACATTTTGGAGCGAACTTGAGTGTGACCCACAGAAGTAGTAGAGAGGTGTTGCGAGAGAAGAGCAGTTCTATTTACACTCGTTGAAGACGAATTGGAATTCGAAACCAGGGTAGATTTCTGGCGGGGTGAAGAAGCGGGATTGCGAGAGAGAGCAGGGGAAGGCGTGATGGAGGGGTGAGAGTGAGAGTGAGAGAGTGCGTGGGAGTGGTGGGAGTGGTGGGAAGAGGTGTGGGGAGCCAGCTTAGTGGTGGTGGTGGCCCAGCAAGTCACTGCAGGCACGGGAGGACGGAGACGGACACGAAGACGCAGACGCGGACGAAGACTAGTAGGACTAGAAACAAGGACGATTGATCAAGATTAATTAATTAATAAAATAAAGAAATTCAACATCCAGGTGGGTGAGTTCGTTTGGTGAGAAAGTGAGGACTTGGTTCGGAGACTTTAAGGATAGGACGTTCACCTACAAGAGAGCTTGTTGCAGCGGTTTGCACATAGAAATGGCTGGATCGCGTGCTAGAAAGAAAAAAAGAAGAAGAAACAAGAGGAATCCAATTGGCTTGATTGAACTTAAATATCACCGTTGCTGAAGCTGTTCCTGACGTTGCCTAACTTTGGTCGGTTATTCTTGTTCGGCAAATCCCCTTTTTTACGGCTAAAATACAGAACTTGTTTAGTCTCCTTTGCCGCCACCAATCGATATCTCTCCGTCGCTCTTCGTAAACGGAGTAATACATACATACCTCTGCTGATCTCTTTAGATCTCTAGAATGGTCTGGAAAATCCTACTAAACATTATTTTATTTTATTGCTGATGGATAGTTTATTGTGTAGATATATCTATCCGTGGAGTTTCATGATGCTCCATATCCCCGAGAACAGAAAATAAGGAATGAAACAAATCCTAGCAACATTCTTTCAGCATGAAAAAGTTGACGAAAGCCTCCTTAACAAAAGTTTTTATAGCCTTAAAATAGGAAAGTGCATGGCCTAAATTCATCCCGGTGAACCCTCCATAATCTCTCCATCTCCCATGGATGACATTCATGAGGTAAGAATGGATGACGGCTCGGACTAAAACCGACTCCACGTTGGCGATTCTAGGTCCTCCAAGCACGCTCATCTTCATGCCACTCGACGGATTCAGCGGTGCCACTGAGAGCGGCCACTCTGTTCAGGTGCCATTGCATCTCTATAAGCGATGGGTTCGGCAACGGTCTTTCTTTCACGTTATCAGTTGTTAAGCGCACAACGTCTCCAGATCTGAGATGGCCGCGTCTCTGGCCGTCCAGCCCCTTCTCATAGCTGAACAGCCCAAACCCATCTGGGTGCTCTATGGAGGGCTGCTGTGTCAATTTGATGCTAGTTTGGAGGCTACTGCTCTTCAGCCAGTGAAATTTCAGCTTTATGGAGGTACCATCTGCAGCCATCGAGATGAATTTGAGCCCAAATGCAGCCTTTCTGTACATCATGTGTGCTGCTGGTGACAGCGCAGAGAAAATTTACGGTCGATTCTTTGCCACCACAGCTTCGACGGAATGTCTCGTGCCACCTGGCAACCTTCTCCCTACACAAGAAGATTCTCAGTGTGGACCAAAGCAGCTCGTCTGGTGACCCTTCAAGTGAAAAGGAGATGACAGGTACAACATCGTAGATCGTTTGTTTCTCAAGAACACAGGCCCGTTGGTCTCTAGTTTCTGTCTATACGGGGATCAATAAAATATTAGCAATACATCAAGCCCAAATTGAATCAAAAGCATAAACCTACCAAGTACGCCGACCTCCCATTAGACCAGACTCCGATTACAGTAGTTGTCCAGCTGCCGGTTCCGGTTTCACCGTACTCAGAAAGATCTGAAGCGATTGTTCGTATGCCAGTACCAGGACGAACCTTTTGTAACCCTATATATCACAAGATGTACCTCATGACGGTAAGGTGAGTCGATGAGCGTTTCAAGTAGTTGTTAAATGCCAAAAGCCAATGAGAAAACGAACACATTCTGATGACATTCTGGAGGCCGAAAACGCATCCAGAGCCAATGAGCTTCATCAAATCATCGGATTCAACCATCTTCTCCAGGTTCTCCACATCTGCAAGCCATAAGAATGCATATGACGATGGGTGAACGCGCACCATGTTCTGCTGCTGAAGTTTTTCCCATACTTTTTCTATGAGATTGATCCGGTGGGGATCAGAAAATTCTGCGTCCGCCATTCTAAAGGTAAGCTTGGTTGGTATAGTTGAAATAGTGGAAGTTGAGGGTCAAAATAGGGTAGAGCATCTTGGTTACTCCATATATGGATGGATAACTAGATGATGCTTGATGCTTTGTCTCCCAGGTAACAAAGGGAGGGAGCACGATACCCTAGCCGTTTGCCCTAACTAATAATGAAACCAGTTCATCAAAATATGTTAGGAAACCTGCTCTATGTCCCATGCTTTGAGTTCCTGTGTCCAGATCTTTGTTGGCTGTGAAACAAAAATAACAAAAAAAAATACATAAACGACGATTAGATGGTCCCAGAGAGGGTCGAACTCTCGACTTTAGCATTATTAGTACTACACTCTAACCAACTGAGTTATGGGACCGTTAGTGAGTTAAAATCAGCTAAGCCCAACAATAGGCAAGCAAAATCGATCACTAACCCAAAAAAAATAAAATACAACACACAAAACCCAAGCCAAAACTCAGATGAATATCACTCACTTTGAAGAATTCAAAAACATAAGAACAATCAATACGCGGATGCAAAAAGGATAATGGTCCCAGAGAGGGTCGAACTCTCGACTTTAGCATTATTAGTACTACACTCTAACCAACTGAGTTATGGGACCCGTTTACATCGGCGGACCGACCCTCCTCGTTGACGGACCTTGTATCCCTTGGACCCTCAGAAACCCTATTGACACCTATTTGGAGAGTTTTCAGGGGAAGCATAAAATAAATGTATAGGTAGCTTCAGCTCACCACCAGCACAATGCTTGAGGAATATAGATTTAGACAATATCCAATCGTCATGTCAATTCCGTAAACCTTGTAGCCGGATTAATTAACAATCCATCCAGCTGGAGCATGTTGTATGCCCCACTTTCATCGTCTTGGATAACTGTTGGCTCAGGCATATTCTTCAGACGGGTTGTAAAGCCACTAGAAAGCAACAGGCCCATTATCCTTGCTGACTTGATAACTCCTATAGTTTCATCAGTCAAACCTCCAGCATGATAGCTAAATGTGTTCCAAAACAACTCCTCCAACTCCATATAGTCGTCAAATCTGAACAACCCATTCTTGAGGTGAAACTTGGTTATAAGTCGGTGATAAGAGTGAAGGTTGAGGCCGAATGGCGCAATCTCCGCCTCAGCCCAATCAACCACTCCAGCTAGATGGCACGATGTTTCGTCTACTAAAATGTTGCAGGAACCAAAATCCTTATGGAGGAGTACCATGGGAAGAGAGAGAATGGCAGGTAGGGAGTTGAGGGTTGCCTGGATTATCGGTTGGAAGCGGCTTGGAAGAGAGGTAAGCAGCAATCGCAGTTCTTTCTCATATCGATTGCTGAGTTGATTATAGTAGGTTTGTTCAATATCCTGTGGTGCCCTCCATGAGATGGCAAAGAACCTAACAGGATATATAATTAGCTATCTACTAAAACAAACATATTATCAGGATAGCAAGCGTACTTTGCAATATCAGCCACGAGATTCTTTCGCCAGGAGGAGAATTCGGGCGAGTTTTCGGGAACAGCGCCGCTGTGTGCGAGAATAAAATCCAAGTAAGTAATCCCTGGTATCCGGCGCATGATATAGATGTAGAGGGGTTCTCTTCCATCAATATTTCCCCCGATCTGACCTTTGAAGTCAACTTGGGGTGCAAAGTGGCCATAAATGGTTTGAGCAAGATTTATATATTCCATTTTTAGTTGGAGGGACTTGAGGCGAAACTGCGCAACCAGTTCAGGTCCAGCGAAGACCGTATAGCTGCAGACACCCTGTATCGCAACTGGAATGGCATCTTTTCCAAGGCGCTCCTTCACATAGGTATCACAGGTTAAGCGGCTAGTTGAGGTTTTCTCAAAGAATTGAGCGATCTGTTGGTTAGCATTGTATTCCATGTCGCTGGTAGCCATGATCGTGTTCTATATTCAATAAAGATTAGCATTCTAGTGGCCGTCGAGGAGTGAGTGGGAACATGATCTTAAGTTAACCAGACAGACATACCTAATCAAATCAGATGGGAGTAAAATATTCTTGATTAGAATAATATCATGGGAAAGCCTTTCAATGTCAGAGCAGAAAGAAATAATGGCAGCCTAGAACAATGAAATTATCACCATCTTGGTGTTAGTTAGTTACCTAGAAAAGAGCAGGGAGTTGACCCAGAGCGTTGTCAGGTCTCATTTCATCCCGTCTCTAAAAACAAACACCCCACACGTTCTTCCCCTCTGTCCAATCACAGAACGGATATCATAAGTTTTGCTATGGGATTACTCTCGGTGTATGGGGAGCCAGGCTGAGCTTCGTCTAACCATTTGATGTTGAACTGATTGATGCATCGAAAGAGCCTTGCTTGTCCACATCTCGAATTCAAATAGCAAACGAATTTCTACCCCAGACACTGAGCACAATATACCGCTATAAGGGCCCCTGTCACTATCTCAAATACAGTATAGTCCGATCGTTGATGTGCAGCCTTGCCACCAAAACAAGAAGAAGTTAAACTTATCCCCGATCCTAATTAGGGTCCTCACCCCTGGCAACCTAAACCTTACTGAGTTACCAACCACTCCAGATGGCCAAGACATGAGGGAAGATGGGACGTCTCCAGATATCACTTGAACGTTCAAATTCAGTTTACTCCAGAAATGAATTCATTATTTACCCAGATTGACCATTATTGCCGGATGGTTGAAGTGAGGACCACCTCAGTTCAGTTCAAGTTTCTCGGTAGTTACTCCATACATGGGTAGCGGCTGAGAGAGATAACTAGCAGCTAGTTAAAGACCCCTGCTCGATAGCTCTATACCCTTCTCTACAGTGACACATCCAAATACACTGGATCAAGTGATCATAAATTTATTTATGCAGCCTTTCCCTCTCTAATGTTTCAAGCTGCGCCATAGCCCCCAAGTTCTGACTGAACATCCCGTTCACCTATCGAATTCGCCTGAGGACGGCACATGTTGCTTCTAACTATATTTATCATGCATACCAGTCTTCTTGGCCGGAAGGGCCTTGCTGCAGCAGGTGAACCTCCGATACTTATAAGTCATTATATCTGGAGTAGGGTGATGTTTGTAGTTCTTAAGCTTTGGTGTTTCGGCTGGCGGTTAAACCCCCATGCTCTGGTGCCGCTGCTCTCTATTCGATCTCTATCGTGAGGATTGTGAATATCTCTATCGTTATTTTTCTTTTGGCCTGGACCTCTATCCTGAGATACGGCAATGGGTCGAGGTGGTCGGGGTCCTTTAGTTGGTGGGCGTGGGGGACTTGAACCCTCTCAATCAGGGTCTAGACGGCAATCAAACACTCGGGGTAAACACTCGGGTCCATCCAACAAGAAGTTGAAAACTTCGAACAGGGCCACTGCAGCCACCACCACCTATCAGGTTGTGTCTGCCACCGACGCCACTGGTCAGACATTTGTAGCACCGCTACCTCAGGATGCCGTTCGACAACGCCGGCTCTGGACACCGGTTTTCTTGCGGCGTGTGACGATTCTAACATTTCTTCTCACATTTGTTACCTTGTTAACATCTGTCATCGGTCTTTATGTATACTCGCATCGCAACGAGGATAAAGCCGGGATCGATACGGAACACAAAAAGTACTATTATCTATGGACATTTGGCCCTACTGGAGGTTCGTATATTCTGTTGGAGACTTTTCATTTTTTTTCTTTCAGGGGACAATTCTAACTAATTTACAATAGTATTTGTGTTTGTCGGCACTTTTTGGTATCAGGTAGAATACCGTGCCTGTCAACTAATGCCCTGGATTTTAATGTCTCAACGCGCTTTGCCCATCCACGAAAGCATTTTACTCGACTACATCTCCGATTGGAATGTTATCAGCCTTTTCAAATCTTTCAAGAGAAAACATTATTTGGTATCATTAGCAACTGCTGGCTCGTTACTTGTCAATGGGCTGGCTGTCGTCTCAACAAGCTTGTTTGAACTCAGGGCAGTCGACCTGGAAGTTTCTACTCCTCTACGGGTCACGCACTCGTTTAAAAATAGTTCAAGATTTGATCCCTATTTACATACCCCCCTTCCATATGTGAAAGCCAAGGCAATAATGGACTTTAATTCATCTCTACCACTGGGAATTTTCGAAGATTATGCTTTCACCCCTTTCAAACCACTTCAGCAAAATGCAACGAGTCGCGCCTTGCAAATTGAAACAGCCGTTGACGTGTTACGTCCGGAGCTTGATTGTGTGGAAGCCACTAAAATCGAGATATTACACCAAGGAATTGGTGTTTTTGTTAATCTTTCTGTTGATGGCTGTCGGTGCGAACAACAACATGCGCAACATCTAAGCCGGGAACTTACAGGCAAACCACTGTTATGCCTTAGTGGGGTAAGATGTCCTCGGTCACCGAATACCAACATTCAACTCTGGGCAGTGGGTTTTGAACTTGACCCAGAAGGTGACCTGGAAGTAGACCGCGAGTTCGTTAGATATGATGGCGATGACGATGACAAATTTCGCGCATACGCGAGTATGTGTTTTCTCCGATTTAATGCCACCCGAGGGCCAGTCAGAATTTCAAGAAACCAAACTAGTGACGATACTTTTTATCCCGAAATAGATTTTCGATCACATCACACAACAAAATTACTTCCTGGACTAGACCCTGGCCTCTTGTTATTAGCTCTCCACCAGAGCATGATAAGCGGTGGAGGGGCAGACTTTGACATTTTTGACGTGTTCCCTTCCGAGAATAATATGGTATTGGGTCCAAATAATTATATACCCCGATTCATTCGTGCGGTGAAATATATATCTACAATTATTGTCCACGAATTTCTGTTGATACCGGAAAACCGTGACACTGATGGAGTGATACGAGTTAAGGAAAATCGATTATTTGTGCGAGATATCACCTTTTACTTGCTGGTGGTTTTACTCAGTATCCTCATTATCATTGCAATAGTACTCCTATTGTTTTTTGTTCCAGTCACAGTCTGTCCCCGGGATCCCAGTTCTATTGCTGGACTCTCAATTATTCTAGCCCAAGATCCTGGTCTAACATCGGTACTCAGTAACTCGACGTTAGAATGGCCCAGGGAAATGCAAGAGTCACTCTCAACTCGAAACTACTTGTACAGAACCACGAGTAATCCTGCTTCAAGTGGATCATTCGCAATCAAAGTGCAAAACATGGTCAGACCCCGGCCATCAACTTCCCCGGCCCAAGCCAATATTCGGTGGTGGCGTCCAGCCTCAACTAGGCCATATATCTTTATTCCGATAGTGGCAGCCCCTCTGGTTATGGCTGCTGCCATTGAAACACTTTTTAGATTTCAAAAGTCTTCAGGGGGAATCTTTTCTACTGGGGGTAGATCCCGTTTTTTCAGTTATCTCTGGACATATGTTCCAGCTCTGCTGATGTTTGGGCTCCGTTGCCTACTTCAATTATTAGAATTTAATGCTAGGATTTTCTATCCCTTTCATCAACTACCAAATGGGAACACGCCTGCCAGAATCAGTGTATCAGAAAACCAGCACCGGAAACTACCCATATACAACATCTTTGACTCATTGCGGAAAAGACAATGGGCTTTAGCTGCCGGCTCTATTATGCTACTTCTTTCTGCATGGCTACCAGTTGC